GCCCTCCACTACGCCAGCCCTCCACTACGCCAGCCCTCCACTACGCCAGCCCTCCACTACGCCAGCCCTCCACTACGCCAGCCCTCCACTACGCCGCTCCTGCAGCCAGGCGCTCGCCGGGTCGGGCCTATCGTCCCCCAAAATGGACTGGACCACAGCACACAATAATACTATGGACTAACCAATCTGGTGCTTGAGCAGAATTGAAAATAGGGTGATTCAAATTTGCAGAGCTCTCAGTGCCTCTCCTAAATTTCTCAGGCACACAGGAGGCCAAAAACAGGCCACCGAGAGAGGATCAGCCCTGCTCCCCGCTTCTGCAGAGGACAAAGTGACCGGCCATCGCCCAGAGCTGTACGGGGCAGAGGCAGGACATAAGACGGGTTCCCCAGGTCTGAGCCCTGGGCTTTTTCAGCCTCACTCTGGGTCCCAAATTGGGATTTCACTTTTAGCTTTCTGAAGTAAAATATCTACTCCTGATATGTTAGAGCCTTCCTATTTCTACGACTTCCAAAATAACGTATTTACTTGCTCTAAAGAGTATGCAAATGCCAAATGCTCTATTTAAGAATCGAAACTTTCTCAAAGAGGCTGAGACTGAGGACAGAGACCTGTCAGGACCTTCCCAATGTCTGCTTTGGATATTCAGAGGAGAGGCAAACCTGGGTGTCCTCCCAGCTCTGAAGTTCTTAGGCCCTCACCATATTCTGTTTATTTATGCACCTAACAAGTATTATTGAATATGCACACTGTGCCAGGCATCTAACCAGGAGCTTGGGCTAACAACGAATGAGACAAACTAGATCCTTCCTCTCCAACCCACTGCACATTAGTGGTAGAAAGAGACACTAAGCAAACAAACAGAAAAATACCAGCAAGTAAAGGTGCCAGTGTAGAGAATGAAGGGTGGGAGGGAGCGCTGTCAGACTGACGTTCTTCAGACTAGGAGGTCAAAGCAGGTTCTCTGATGGAATGACATGCAAGCTTAGAGCTGAAGGACAAGGAGGAGCCGTCCATGTAAGATCAGGGAAGAAGAGCATTGCAGGCATGGACACCATAAATACCGTACCCAGAGCCTGAGGCATGGTGACCTGTGGCGTGTTCAAGGTGTGGCTGGAACCCAGGGACAGTGGGGGAAGATGGAGCAGGAAGAGGTCAGAGAGGTGGACAGAGCCCAGATCAGTCAGTGCTGTGCAAACCAGTGTGAGCAAATTGGATTTAGAGTGCAATGGAATGGCACTGGAAGGTTTTAAGCAGAGGAATGGTGTGGTCTGATTACAGTTAGGATTATATCCAAATGAAAGGGCCTAGCAAAGGCTCTATGGCAGGAACTGCCCATGGGCGGATCCAAAAACTCACTGGTGTTACCCAGCATTTTGGACAATTCTAATGCCACAGTCCATGCTGGGGACAGAGGCCAAGGCCTATGCCCATTATTTCTACTCAGCCCTGAGCTACTTGCCCATGACTCCACAGGCTTTCCAACACTGTCTGTCAGTGACTCTTAGTGATTCTAAAATTCTAGCAATGGCACAGGACTGAGTGGAAACTCTGCCTCACCACAGGATAGACCATGAGTAGCTCACTTCAATGTACTGATATTTCACAACTTAGACTGGACATCGGTCAAGTTGGTAAGCCCTGCTCCCTGACTATGGCTGATCCAACTTCAGGACCTGGAGCACCTTAACTTTATGTGAATCTAAAGAAAGAAAAGCACACACACACAATTATATCTTCACTTTCAGGGTGTTCACAGTCCCCTTGTCGCCAGACCATGGTCCCCATATTAAGACCTCTTGGCCCACATGACCCCTTGTTTGCCTCTTGACAGGAGAATCTGTCACCTGTGACCATGTTGGGCACAGCATTAGCCTCCAACCTCCCCTCTCCCGGACACTGAGTCCACATCAGCACTATTGATGAATCTGCCTCCGAAAAAGGAATGAGAAGAGAAGACATATAGGAAAGGAATCGAAAAGAAAAGGAGAGAAAAACTATGATGTGAACCAAAAAATGTGTGACTTGAAGCATCCTTGCAGCCCTCCAAATATTGCCCCGAAACGCAATCGTATTCGCATTCCTAAGTTAGTGATGATACACACAGACCTCTGTCAGCATGAAAATGTTTATCAATTATGTCTGATCACCTTTTCCCTCATTACAGCTCCACTGATTTATGGAATTTCTCTAAGTGTGAGACATACTAATGTATATGAATTGACTTGAAGTGGTACATGAACACATAGTTTTCATAAATATGTAATTTATATGTATTCAAAAGAACCAGCAAACTAAATTATGTCCTCACAGATAATGCTATTTAAGAGAGAGCTAAGTAAAAAGGAGTGACTCTAAGTGAATTTTAAAACTATTAAGTACGTAGGAGGCCAGAATTGGCAAAATTCTGAAGGTGATGTGGGAATGAACGAAGTCTAGGAAAGAGGGGAGTCTCTATTTCACAGTCCTTTCAGTTGGTGTCAAAAGAATCTATTGGAGAACAGTAAGGAAGGGCTAGTCTGTAATTTCATCTACAATTTCTCTCTATATAATTTATCCTACCCAGAAAAGCATTTCTTGCAGTCCTTTGATATTACCTGTCTTTTGATATTTCCACTGGGAACTCAATGTTCTTAAATTCAATTCAATATTCAATATTCTTAAATAGAATGGAGTAAGTCACTGTGGAATATGATCTTGAAAATATCAGATGAGTTTTTAGAAGACTGTTTTCTTCAATTACATTAGAAGAAATTATATTAGAAATTTATCAATTGCCTTCTAAATTTACTTACATTTTTCAGGTGGTGTTATTGTAATAGTCTGAGCTGTAAATTCTTCATCAAAATATCTAGTATCTGTCTCAGATGTTACTTGAGGTTTAAAAGGAGGTACAAGCTGTAAAAAGAAAGAAAAAGAGTTTTATTAACTGATTTCAATTCAGGAAAATTCCTTTCTGGGAAAAATGCAGAGAGCATGTAGTTAAATGAACAGAACAAAAGTCTACAATGCTGAGTTGCTGTGTAAGGGGGACATGGTATTTGGCTTCCCAGTCAATAGTCTAAACAAACCGGTGGGTAATTGGTGGTTCTGTATAAAATCTAATGGATCACGAAAAACAACAAAGGAAAACCACAGAATAGGACGGGAGAGGGATATTGAAAAATCTGTCCCGGTTTTTTCCCCCAACAACAAACATACATGCAAAACCATATTGACAGGGAGCAGCGTGCCAGGACGTGGGCTCCTCTCCGGGCAGCCTCTTTCTAGTACTAGCTGAAGAAGGTATTAACAAAGATACAACTTAATAACACAGCTACCACCAGGGTACGGACGAGAGTGCTGCCTTTCCCTTTGTAAAGAACTACAACTTTGGACTTTGCTAAGAATTTGCTGATAGGAAGTGGGCATCGATGCCCGCCCTGCTCTGGAAAAGGGTTTCTTGGCAGCCCCTGCAGTTACACGCAAATTTTTGCCCACAGCTTTCATCAGATCCTCAAAGGGGACCACAGCCCAGAAGAGATTAAGAGTAGCTCCTCTGGGATCGACCGGGCAGGAATCATCTCATTCAAGTTGCACCTGTGGCAGGCATGGGGGTGGGGGATGCGGGGGGTGGAAGAAAGTCTTGGGGAACCGGAGGTCTCAGGAGCCGGAGCCCTGTGAACCTCTGCTGGTTGGGAGGGAGAAGAAACTAACATGAGGCTTCTGCGTCTCGGGGCTCTAGCCTCCAGGGATAGGTGGAACCCACAGGTTCCTTCTAGCACAGGATGCCCAGAGCCAGAGCATTAGGGTCAGAGTATGTGCTCTGCAGAGCATCATTCAGAACAGGGGATGCTGCTTTAGAATACGGTTCTCATGGGGATAGGAACATGGCAAACAGAATGACAGAAATCAGCATGTTTTATACAAATTTTACAGAAACAAATACACAATTGGCTTGAGATCAGTGCATTTTCCCACTCTTTCTGTCACCAAATTTATGTTAAATAATAAGGCGAAATCTTTAAACTATTCTCTAGACAGAACTATATTTTTAAGAATCGTGGGATGAGCAGAATTAAAAGCAGGTTTTCAAAATAAAGGACCGCATTTCAGTTTATGGTGCATGCTACAAAGCATTCTTAATCTCTTCTTTTTAAAATTCTTTGTTTGCCCCCAGCACACAGCTATTCTAAGGTCTTCAAGACTGTCAAGCTTTGAGGATGAACCAACTCTACATTCCACTGATCAGCTGGTAATGGCTACTAATCCCTGACCTGAAACAAACTCCTCTGCTAGTGGTAAGCAGAGCCTGCCATGGTGCCAGACCAAGTTTCTTTCTAGCTGCTCTGCTGGCTCCCTGGACATGAGCAAGCAGGTCACTCCACTGCTAGAAACCCTCCCTCTGACTCTCGGGCTAAGTGCACTGTCTTCACCAGCATCACATATCACATGCACATGCACGGGGAACACCAGAGGCGACAGAGGCTGGAACGATTTTTTTTTTTTTTTTTTTAAGAAAACCCAGGGGTAATTGCCCCTATCTGACAGGAAACTGGAAGACTGGAATTCTGGTTGGGTTTTTCTGATTTACTATTCTACAGATGTTCACAAAATAGGTCTTTATCCTTCCAATCAAAAGTTAACCACAAGAAATTCCTGTGGCTGGAATCGGCTTCTCTTGGGCACTAGGAGTAGGTTTTGCTTACCTCTGCTCCCCCCTTTTCATCTGGTTCTTTGTGATGTCAGAAATTTAAATTTGCCTTCAAGTTAGGGGAAACTTGTCCTTTTAGATGAGAGAATGATCATCTGTAACTTTAACAAACTGAAACCTATCTTAACAGTTTTCAAAAGATTACAGGAGAGCTTAAAATAGTCTCTGTTTCAAATGCCACATGTACTGAGGACTTTCCTGACCACCTTCTTATATTAAACAGCTATCCTCCCCCTCACTTTCTATCTTCACATTGCTTTTTCTTCGAGACTTTGCAACATCTGATACACAGGCACGTATACCACATATGATATACGTAGATTTGTTTGTTACTGTCAATGTCATCATCAATAAAATGTAAGTTCCACGAGGGCAAGGACTTTAAAAAAAGTTTATTGATGAGTAATTAACATACACTAAACAGCCCACGTTAAGAATATACAACTTGGGCTGGGTGTGGCAGTGTGTGCCTGTAGTCCCAGCTATTTGGGAGGCTGAGGTGGAAGGATCACTTCAGCCCAGGAGGCAGAGGTTGCAGTGAGCCAAGATTATGCCATTGCACTTCAACCTAGCCTGGGCAAAAGAGTAAAACCCTCTCAAAAAAAAAAAAAAAAAGAAAAAAGAAAAACAGGCAGCTGATATGTTTTGACATATGTATATACCCATGAAACTGTCACCAAAATCAACATGGTGAAAACATCTACCACTTTAAACGTCTTCTTGTGCCCATGTGTGCTTCCATCCTCCCATCCCCTGCAGGCCATGACTGGCATACTTTCTGCCATAACTGACTTGCTTGCATGTTTAAGAATTTTATGCAAATGAATCATATAGTATGTACCCTTTGTCTGTCTCGTTCATTTAGCATGATTACTTTGATATTCACCCATGTCACCGCAGGTATCAATAGTTTGCCCACTTTGCTGGGTCATATTTCAGTACACAGATGTATCACAATTGACCCACTCATCTGTCAATGAACATCGGGGCTGTTTCCAGTTTGGGGCACTTACAAACAAAACTGCTATTAACTTTTACGTCCAAGTCTTTGTGTAGACATGATTTAATTTAGGACAAATACTAAGGAGTGGAATGGCTGGGCCATACGGTAGGTATACATTTGACTTTTCCAGAAACTGTCCAATTGTTTTCCTTTATGTTAAAAAACAATTCTAATTCCTAATTCACTCAGAGCGCTTCATTTTTTGTTTAAATAAATTTTTAAAAGGATGAATTTTTCTTGATTTTTTTTTTGCATCATTTGATATAATCATTTCCTTCCTATTCTGTTAATAGGTGAACTATAGTGATTGGTTTTGAATGTTAAATCAATCTTATATTCCTAGAATAGACCACACTGGTAGTGGTTCTTTGTATCTATTGTTAGATTTAATTTGCTAAAATTAAATTAAACATTTCAGCATATATGTTCATTAAGAATATTGGTCTATAGCATTCTTTTAAAAATCTCTTTGCAGGCCAGGCGTGGTGGCTCAGGCCTGTAATCCCAGCACTTAGGCCGAGGCAGGCAGATCACGAGGTCAGGAGATCAAGACCATCCTGGCTAACACGGTGAAATCTCCGTCTCTACTAAAAATACAAAAAATTAGCCGGGCAGGTATGGTGGCGGGCGCCTGTAGTCCCAGCTACTCAGGAAAATGGCGTGAACCCGGGAGGCGGAGCTTGCCATGAGCTGAGATGGTGCCACTGCACTCCAGTCTGGGCGACAGAGTCTGAGACAGTCTGAGACAGACTCTGTCTCAAAAAAAAAAAAGAAAAATCTCTTTGCATACTGATGTCAAGTTAGTACCTGCCTCACAGAATGAACTGAGAAATATTCTATCATCTTCAATTTTCTGGAATAATTTGTATAGAATTGATAATATTCCTTTTGTTTGGTAGACTTCATTGGTGAAAATATGTAGGTGGGTCTGGTGTCTTTGTCAGAAGGATCTTAACCACAATTATAATTTCTTTAGTAGGTACAAGGCTATCCATGACATCTATTTCTTCTTGGTAATTTGTATCTTTCAAGATATGTGTCCATTTTAGCCAAAGAGTTGAATTTATTGGCATAAAGTTATACATAATGTTTCTATATTATCCACTTAATACCACTATAATCTGTAGCAGTGTCAACGTTTATTATTTGTCTTCTCACTTTTCTATTCAGTCAGGTGAGAAATACATCCATTTTAATGATCTTCTCAAAAGCCCAGTTTTTCTTTCATCAATTTTCTCTATGATTTTTTGTTTCTGTTTCATCGATTGCTATCCCAATCTTTATTTCCTTTGTTCTGTTTACACTGCATTTAATTTGTTCTTGTTTTTATAATTCCTTTTTTGTCTTTCTTAGAGACAAAATCTGACTCTGTCACCCAGGCTGGAGTATACTGGTGTGATCATAGTTCACTGAAGCTTCAAATTCCTGGCCTCAAGCAATCCTCCTGCCTCAGCCTCCTGAGTAGCTATGACCACAGGTGCGCACCAGTATGCCCAGCTAATATTTTATTATTCAGAGATGGGATCTCACTATGTTGTCCAGACTAGTCTAGAACTCCTCTACCTTGGCCTTCAAAAGTACTGAGTATAGTTGTGAGCTACTGTGCCCAGTCCTAGTTTCTTAACATAGACACTAAGGTCATTAATCTTACACTTTTCTTCTTTTCTAATATTTAAAAATATCTTTTAGTACTATAAATTTTATTTACTACTATAAAGTATTGCTTTAGCTGTATATCACAGCTAAACATGTTGTGTTTTCATTTTCAGTCCATTCAAAATACTTTCTAATTTCCCTTTGATTTCTTCTTTGATCCATGGATTATTTAGTATTTAGTTTCCAAGAACTTGGGGATTTTCCATATATCTTTCTGTGTCTTTTTAATTTCATTTCCTTCAAAGAGAATATGTTTTACAGTAGCTAAATCCTTTAAAATTCATGGAGTTGTTTTGCTCAACATATGGTAGACTGTGGTAAATGATCTGTGACCTTGAGAAAAATAAGTGTTCTTATGTTATTGGGTAGCATGTTTCATAAATGTCAATTAGATCAAGCTGATTGATAGTATTGCCCAAGCTGTCTATAATCTTACCAATTTCTCTCCAATTGCTGTATCAATTATTTGAAGATGGGTATTGAAACGTCTAATAGTAATTGTAAATTTTTCTATTTTTCCTTATAGTTATATTAGTTTTTGCTCCA